ATCTTTACGGGAATGAAGGATACGCTCAGGTCAGTGATGATGTAGTCCCAGGGGGATAGAGAGGTTTGATGTGCTGCCTGTTGAAGACAGCCCAATAGGGAGAGCTTAGAGGAGTCATCAGGACTCATAAAGCTCTGGATGATTCACTGTTTTAACACCTCAGCAGTGTGTCCTCTCTATTCCGCTATAGTGAGTCCCATCAGAACAGTATTTCTCACATTTATCAAATTACTGATTTGTATTATATTAGATGTGTTATCATGAAGGTGGGAAAGATGCTCTGACTGACGACTCATAATCCCTTTACCCTCCCACACGTATCCACACACACACACTCTCGCACACTCATACACACATACACACACACACAAACCGTAGGTAAGTAATGCAATATCCGGCAGGAGGGGTAACCTTGTCGTCTGATTATCATACTGGCAGTGAGTAATTCTTCCTGCGTAATGATGAGAACATCCAGTCCATCAAAGTCGACCCTCTCATCCCCCATCCATCATCCCCCATCTCCTTTCATCATTCATCCTCCTCTTATGTGGACACCCTGACCACAATCTACCCTCTCGTAGTCACCCCACATCCACAGAGCTCCTCTGTCTATCTCCTCCTCTTGTGTGAGGCCTTTACAGTGGGGGAAAAAAGTATTTAGTCAGCCACCAATTGTGCAAGTTCTCCCACTTAAAAAGATGAGAGAGGCCTGTAATTTTCATCATAGGTACACGTCAACTATGACAGACAAATTGGGGGGGGAAAAATCCAGAAAATCACATTGTACGATTTTTAATGAATTTATTTGCAAATTATGGTGGAAAATAAGTATTTGGTCACCTACAAACAAGCAAGATTTCTGGCTCTCACAGACCTGTAACTTCTTCTTTAAGAGACTCCTCTGTCCTCCACTCGTTACCTGTATTAATGGCACCTGTTTGAACTTGTTATCAGTATAAAAGACACCTGTCCACAACCTCAAACAGTCACACTCCAAACTCCACTATGGCCAAGACCAAAGAGCTGTCAAAGGACACCAGAAACAAAATTGTAGACCTGCACCAGGCTGGGAAGACTGAATCTGCAATAGGTAAGCAGCTTGGTTTGAAGAAATCAACTGTGGGAGCAATTATTAGGAAATGGAAGACATACAAGACCACTGATAATCTCCCTCGATCTGGGGCTCCACGCAAGATCTCACCCCGTGGGGTCAAAATGATCACAAGAACGGTGAGAAAAAATCCCAGAACCACACGGGGGGACCTAGTGAATGACCTGCAGAGAGCTGGGACCAAAGTAACAAAGCCTAACATCAGTAACACACTACGCCGCCAGGGACTCAAATCCTGCAGTGCCAGACGTGTCCCCCTGCTTAAGCCAGTACATGTCCAGGCCCATCTGAAGTTTGCTAGAGTGCATTTGGATGATCCAGAAGAGGATTGGGAGAATGTCATATGGTCAGATGAAACCAAAATATAACTTTTTGGTAAAAACTCAACTCGTCGTGTTTGGAGGACAAAGAATGCTGAGTTGCATCCAAAGAACACCATACCTACTGTGAAGCATGGGGGTGGAAACATCATGCTTTGGGGCTGTTTTTCTGCAAAGGGACCAGGACGACTGATCCGTGTAAAGGAAAGAATGAATGGGGCCATGTATCGTGAGATTTTGAGTGAAAACCTCCTTCCATCAGCAAGGGCATTGAAGATGAAACGTGGCTGGGTCTTTTTTCCCCCACTGTATGTGTGTTTGAAACTGAGAGTGGACGACTTGCAGCACACACCGTTTCCACTCTTTCCTGAAACTAACAAATGAATAACCTTCTGTCACAGTCTAATCTCACTAAATAGGTGCGCCGCAAGGCAGATGTGCCCATACAAGTTTGGACTAAAGAAAGATGCTACTCTACCCAGCATAGGAGTAGGCCGGCCTCTCCCTGAAGAAAGGAATCTCATCGAATTTTCAGGAAATCCAAGCATGAGAGGAAGTGTTAAAAGAGCTCAGCTGGCACTGTGGATTTCATCTCACTATGACTCTGCACTATGACCCCCCCCACCACCCCCACCACCATCCAGGCTCTTATATAAACACACCACCGTCACTCTCTCTTTCTTGCGCTCTCTCTTGATCTTTTTGAAACGCCGGGAGAAGGAATGGAGGAGCAGCAGCAGGAAGGGTGACATCACCGTCACCCGCGGCAGCTAGGGCCTGCCGGGCCGGTGTGTGGGAGTCTCTGTCTCTGCATGTCACTTCCTGGGAAAGAATAGAACAGAAAGCGTAACGGCCAACACTGTTGCACCTTCACAAGTCTCCTCTCACATGGGGGAGGGGGAGGAGAGAGAGAAAGAGAGCGGTAGAGATGTAATGTGTCTCTTACTTATTCATTCGTCCCACAGAGTGTTGTTGTGGTTAGGTTTGAGGTTGGCTTCTCTCTTTCCTCTCCCCTACCATGCCACGGGCTGGTGCTGGTGGGTGACTACTTGTGGTGTGGTTTTTGAGATGTTATGCTGCCCCCTGGTGTCCAAAGGCAGGATTGTAGAAAAGTGTCACGTTGATGATACTGTTCCATCCAACTGCGTCTCCGCTCTTTACACAATGTACTGACATACACTATGCTATATGGCCATTATAGGTCATCCAACACCCAGCCTTCAGACACCTGTGATTGACTGTGAGAACCTCTGGGACCAACTGCTATTAAGCTGTGTTGTCATGGCGACGCCATGGTTACGTAAGTGTTTTGGCCCGGTTCTCATAATCACGCACAGAGCTCTATGTGTCCCGGTCGTTTTTTCCAACACTGGACACCCCAGCTGCGATCTGTTCATCACTGTACATTCCTCCACCTGAATGTGATATGATGAAGATCAGGTGGGATACACAGGTGTGTGTGCTGCCTGCCACGCCCTAAGTGAAACACATGTGTGTGTGTGTGTGTGGTGGGTGGTCATGATGTCATCGTCAACACTAGCCCCATTGTAAATAGAAGTAGGGTTTGGGGAGGTGCAGCATGTGCCCTACCATGTCCATAGATACCTGCAGGACAGTACAGTAAGCAGGACACAATAAGGAAGCTATTGTAAGGCTATGAGTCAACCACTGTAAACAGGTAAGATAACATGTCTATTGTTTAGTGGCTCTGAGCGTAGTTGTTTTCGTCACTCATGGATGTGGAGTGTTTGCCCACACACACACTTACACACACTTACACACACACACTCTGTGGTCATGTGGTGTTTCTATGTGGTTTTCCCAGGACCTTTGGCAGGCAGAGAGATTGCTGAGCTCTGAGAACAACAGTTAGGTGGGTGGGTGAGTAACATTGTGTTCGTGTTTGTTGGATGAGTGCTCGAATAGGAGACTAGTAGACTGGTTAGATGATGTCACAACCAAATAGTTGTTATGTATTTCTTACAGTAATTTATTGTTGATAGATAATGATTGCTGTAATGAATTGTGCATACAACATTTTAATATTGTCCTATACTGTCTAATATTGTAATGTGTTATGTTTTCTTTATGTTGACGTGAAGAGATGAGTATCTAAAGATATTATTTGTATAACGTTACTGTAGTTATTCTTCACAGCTCTACTGTTAAGAGTGGTAGTGTCTGAAGTGTGGAGGATGATGTCACACATCAGCTGTCCTCATAGCTGGGCTACCATGGCAATGACATTCATCAGAATGACTTCCTCCAAAAGCAAAGCACTGTCACGATCACTTTCTGTACTGACAGATGACTTTATACTGATACTTACTGTGTTTGTGTGTTGGTAAGGTTAATCATAGAAATGCTAAGCCAAATGAGTGCACTGTCTTTGTAAATCTACTTGTCATCCACGTCACAACTGCTGCACAGAGTTTCTACTTGACATTACTGCCAGAGAGAAATAAGGAAAGTATACTCCAAAATCTTTGCTACTGCTGCTCATCCACTGCATTGTCCGGCAGGGAAAGTCTTCCCCCAGAGGCTGGTTTCACATGGTGGTTTAGATGAATGTTCCCAGTGTCTAGCACCATTTGAAATCAGTGTTCTTGGGGACAGGAGAACAGCTCTAGGCCTCTGGGAGTGTCAGTGAGTCTATTGGAACCATCCTCTCTCTCTCTCTCCCCTTTAAAGGATGACTGATTTCCTCTGGTGTTTAGAGCCCCTTACAGCCTTCTAGCACCATTTGAAATCGGTTATAATGACTGGGGATCAATGCCTCAATGTCTTCACGATGTCTACATGTCAATTCTACAGTCAAGCAGAGAGGAAATGAATGGGATGAATGTTCATATTGAACGTGTCACAGGGTCTGCTCTACAGATCCTGGAATCGAAATGAGTTGGACGGGAGCTAATTTCCAGTGGGACAGTTTTTAAAGTTTCTTATTGAATAAATGTTCAATAAAACTGAATTGATATTGCATACTTATCTTACTTTTTCCTGTGTGTACGTTATTATATTTGTGTCCGTGGTTATAAACATGTGTGTGAACTATAAAACCCTGCTCTGCTATGCATAAAACTCACTCAATTCAAGTAACTTATCAGAGCTCAAGAGATCATAACACATTACCCTCACTGTTATATCTAGAAGCACTCAACACAATCCAACACTTACTTTATAACCTGATAATAGAAACAGGAAAGGCCTTTTATTGCAGGACTTGTACCAGACACTGCACAGAACCACAGAAGATAGCATCTAGTATGTACAGAATTCAGGAAAGTTCCTGTTCTATAATGTGGATGAATGAGTTCCAAGGAAGCCTGATGTTCTCAATAAGATTTTAAAGTTGTGGCAGTTTATCTTATCTCTGCTCAGTGTCCCTGTCGCCTGTGTTACCATGTCACTCTCCGGGTCTGACAAAACATGCAGTGCACAACTGGTATCTATTCATATAGTGTGTTAGGTGTATATAAATGTGTTGTGGATAGGGGGTTGTGTTGATGGGGGTTAGCATGGTAGTATGAACATGATCATGGAGTTGAACTTGGAGACCATCCCAAAGAATGAAGTTGAACTGGGAGAGGAAGAGGAGGAGGCGGAGGAAGAAAAATAAGTGCCTCTCCACATTCAAGCGCTACAGAGGTACAACTTTGACCAGAGGTCATTCTGTGTACATGATTATTAGCTGAGATACTAGGTAATTTAGATCCTTCAACTCATATCATTATTTTAGAACCTGCCATTATTCCACTTTAGCGTAATGAGCTATTTCCCTCAAATCAATGGGGTTTTAATGGAGCCTAGTTGTCCTAGCATCTCTCCCATTGCCCTAGGCCTAGGGCACTGTAGTAGTTATATTTTCCTTTCACCTTGATGGCCTTGTATGACTCAAATGTAAACAGACATCAATGCTCTCAGTGTGTTACCTATCTCCTGACTGTATGGGTGTTTCAACCCCCATATGTGAGCTTTTCACAGGTGGCTGGTGGTACAGGGAGGACAGGCTCATTGTAATTGCTGGAATGTAAGAATGGTATGAAACACATCAAACGTGGTATTATGAGCCGTCCTCCCCTCACCAGCCTCCTGTGGAGCCTGTATTGGCTAGGTTGAAGACAAAAGAGGTAAGGACAAGTTGTATTCATGTGCGCAAGCTTTCGAAATTAAACAGATTCATGTTTATTCTAGTTGATAACTAACATCGCTGGTCTGTTTGTTTAGAATTATTCTGCATCTATGCAAAGAGTTATGGGATATTAGAAATCCTCCTATCCTGGGTATCTTCTACCTAGCATGTTATTGGTTCGATGTCACAACATACAACTTTGGGGGTGTTTCAGCAACAGTGCAAAGTTCTACATTGCAGTCTACAGTACACTATGACATCACCCAAAGAACTGTAGAATGCACTGTTGCACTCTAAATATGATGGAACTGTGCCTTCACTTTAGCCTCTGAATCACAATGTCAGTATTCTCATTGTAGCAACTTGTTTTTGAAGCCTCCATGCAGGCTAAAAAGTATGGTTTGATTTGATAAATTATTAGATGTTGTTATTATAATGCTTATTGACTGCAATATAAATTGGCTGTAGTGAGAGTATCCATGCATTGACTTACAGGGCTTTAGGGAATAAAGCTTTCCTCCAGCCAGTGAGCAAGGATGAGATTATTGCTCCAAAGGCCCGTGAGATCTATCAGAAAGCAAAAGGTGAGAGAGTCATTTTGATAATGCAAATATATGACCGGGTTCATGCACTGAAACACAATACAAACAACACTTTTTTTAAAATGTGTATCTGGGTTTGGCTACATTGCTGCTATCCTCAAAAAAGTGTGCTTGATACAGTAGGCAGACTACAGTACTAATTAGCAGTATTGTGTTTTGAAGTGGATGACATTTGACATATTTTCAATATGTCTGTAACAGTCCTGGATTCCAAAGAGATCTGGAACATTCTTAGGGAGGAGTCTGAGTCCAAACTGGCTCAGATGGAGACGGCCATTGACGGGCCCTCAGTGATCAAGGTTTCCCTGATACTACACAGAGAACACATCCTGTCACAATGTCACACACCGTTACCAACCATGACCTGTGTCATCTTTATAAGACATTCAACCAATGCAAAACTCTGTTGTCTAGAAAAACCAACAAGTAGATTTCTAGATACTTGCTTAGATTCGATTTGCACTCTCTTTCTTTCTCTCTCTCTCTCTCTCCCTTTCTCCCCCTCTCAGGCGTTTGATTACAGGATGGAGTGTCAGAAGCTGCTGGAGGTTCAGGGGCAAGGGAAGTCTAGCCGCCATAAGAATCGAGTGGCGCTCATGTTCAAGGCCTCGGAGGCCAACCTGGACAGGAGAACCCTGCTCATAGCCAACAACCCCCTGCCCGACCTCCATAACCTGAAGGAGGGTGACAGCCCCACCAAATACCTGGCAGGCAACCCCCTCGCACCCGCCCCCGCCCTCACCAAGGTAAGAGGTCATTTCAAAAATCATGTGATGTTGAGAAAAATCCCAAAGCCTAACTGCGCAAAAAGCAAGAGTCATGTGGATAGCTTGAATATTGAATGCTCTTAAATTGGTAAATTCGCTGTTCCCTCAGAGGCTTGAAGCCATTCGGGGTCGTCAGAGTGGTTTGCTTCCTCTGAAACATCCTCTTAAATTGCCATCTGGGACGAGAAGAGAGGGCAGCAAGCGGAGTAGCGGTGGGTGTGCTGGGAAAGAGTTGAGTGGTTGAGTGGTCTTGAGTTGTCACAAATAATTTGAAACATCATATTTCTCTCCATTACCATGTACAGTTAGGGATATTAATGAATGGCAATACTTTGTGGTCCCACAGAGCTCAATCATGGGTGCGAACACGTCTCTGTGTGCAGTTCTCTGAGGATAGGTCAACGGATTCAGACAGGGACAACGGACAAGAAGGTATTTCATCACACGCGACGGAACATTATTTTTGGTGATGCTGATGATTACGATGATATTAATATTTGTGTGTGTGTGTGTGTGTGTGTGTCTGTATCTAGGTGTTGCCCTAGATCTGACCCAGAGCACTGAGGTCAAAGATCAGTGCACTGAACTGTGTGAGCCCCTCACTCTCTCGGCCCTGCTGGAGACTGCAGTCACAGTAACAGCACCAGGACAGGGGGCGTTCCGCTATGGACAGATCACCTACTGGAACGGGACCAGCAGCTGTGAACTGCCGCCATGACTTCTGAAGCCTGGACCTTTCAATGCATGCATGCAATAGCTGTTTGACCTCTATATTTGGAGCTGTTTGCCAACTATGTGTTGAAATGTACCAATAAATCCTTTATGGTTGAAATTATTTTTGGGGATGTGTATTCTTACATATTAAGCCACTGTGTGTGTGTGTGTGTGTGTGTGTGTGTGTGTGTGTGTGTGTGTGTGTGTGTGTGTGTGTGATTCTATCCAGAATAGTTCATCTTACACCAGATGGTCCCAACTGCCTTTTGCAGTTGCATAACAATAATGTAATATTTTAAATCCTTGTAGAACACAACTGTTTGTTTTACTGAAATATCAAAGAGGGGAGAAATGTACAACATTTGTCTATTGCAATACAAAAACCCTGTAGAGTGCATTGACATTTAATTGTGTTAAAGGGATATTATTTTGTGCAGACAACAGAAGCAAGTTCATTGTACTACAGCATTACCAATTGTTATTAGAGGTGCTGGCCCCGCCCAGAGTCGTCTGCTTATGGTATGACCCCGCCTATTTAACCATATATACTAGCATCTAGAACCTCAGGTCTTTCCTTATTGGTCATTGTTCGGATTTCCGCCATATTCAAAGAATTTCAAACATCCGTCTACTGTTATCATTTTCCAGAAATAGTTAGCTATTGTTTTCACCTTTAACATTGATTTTTGGTTCTCCATTTGAAATGGAGGAAACCGGTGAAGCACAGGTCCAAAGTTCGATACCAGAGACGCAGAATGACAGACCGAAGAGAAAGGCAAACAAGAAGAGGAAGTTCAACATCGATGATGAGACGTCCCCCGAGAGCAATAACAATACCAACTCAAGGTGAGACAAACGCTGCCTGAACTATTGAGTGTACGCGATTAAACGAAAATAAATTTGTGAACTATTTATATGGTGCTAACATTATTTAGCTAGCTAATGTTACATTCTGTAACGTCAGTTGAATGTTTGTTTTGATGACTAGCTACCTAGCATGTGGCTGGCTGACGTTACAGTTCGAGCACGTTGTCATTGTTACACATCCTCCCAGCTAACAAATCTAGGGAGAGGGGACGTTATGTTACCTGTAATGTTCCCCTGATGTTTAAGTGTTTAGTTTCCGTTAGTTACAGGAACATTCTACGTATGTTTGCAAAAACCTCCTTAGAACCTATTTAGCATGTTTTGGTGTTCGAGTTAGTAGAACATTCCCTTATTGAAACGTGTCTAGAACATTAATATATTATATTCTGAGAACATGGCAACCATGTTCTGTGTATGTTTGGTGTGACGATGGAATAATCAGCTAACACTTAGAACACTAGACACATGAATGTTCTTGCAACGTCCAATGAAACGTATCTACAACAAAAAAACGACTGGCTGGCTCTATGGCTGGTTCTGTTGGATTTGTCACAAGTATTAATTAATGGAAAACTTCGCCACAGATGGAAACCACTGGCCTATCTTTGACTTTGCCATCTAGTGTTAACTCCAATATTTTGTCATCTTTCATAAATTGTGGCCGTGAATCCGCCATAGAAATTGTTCGAAAGAATAAGATGAAGCTCCGGTAATATGGATAACTATTGAAAGATAGCTAATATACACTAGTCATTAGTCTATTCTTCTTCTTTTTTTTTTTTAGCAGTCAAAGGTTTGGACACACCTACTCATTCAAGGGTTTTTCTTTATTTTTACATTGTAGAATAATAGTGAAGACATCAAAACTATAAAATAACACATATGGAATCATGTAGTAACCAAAAAAGTGTTAAACAAATATATTTTATATTTGAGATTCTTCAAATAGCCACCCTTTGCCTTGATGACCGCTTTGCACACACTTGGCATTCTCTCAACCAGCTTCACCTGGAATGCTTTTCCAACAGTCTTGAAGGAGTTCCCGCATATGCTGAGCGCTTGTAGGCTGCTTTTCCTTCACTCTGCCATCCGACTCATCCCAAACTCATCTCAATTGGGTTGGGGGATTGTGGAGGCCAGGTCATCTGATGCAGTACTCCATCACTCTCCTTCTTGGTAAAATAGCCCTTACACAGCCTGGAGGTGTTGGGTCATTGTCCTGTTGAAAAACAACAAGTCCCACTAAGCCCAAACCAGATGGGATGGCGTATTGCTGCAGAATGCTGTGGTAGCCATGCTGGTTAAGTGTGCCTTGATTCTAGATAACAGTGTCACCAGCAAAGCACCCCCACAACCATAACACCTCCTCCTCCATGCTTTATGGTGGGAACCACAAATGCGGAGATCATCCGTTCACCCACACCGCATCTCACAAAGACAGGGCGGTTGGAACCAAAAATCTCAAATTTGGACACCAGACCAAAATTCCACTGGTCTAATGTCCATTGCTTGTGTTTCTTAGCCCAAGCAGGTCTCTTCTTCTTATTGGAGTTCTTTAGTAATGATTGCTTTGCAGCAATTTGACCATGAAGGCCTGATTCACAGACTCTGAACAGTTGTTGTTGAGATGTGTCTGTGACTTGAACTCTGTGAAGCATTTATTTGTGCTGCAATTTCTGAGGCTGGTATTTCTAATGAACTTATCCTCTGCAGCAGAGGTAACTCTGGGTCTTCCATTCCTGTGGCGGTCCTCATGACAGCCAGTTTCATCATAGCGCTTGATGGTTTTTGCGACTGCACTTGAAGAAACGTTCAAAGTTCTTGACATTTTCCGTATTGACTAACTTTCATGTCTTAAAGTAATGATGGTGTTACGAACCCCGTGGCTTTAAAAGTCTAGAGTGGATGGAACAGAGACCCGTAACATAATTCATGAAAATTAGAATCATGACATGGAAAGAGTGAGAACAAAAAATACACCGACAACCATAAACTACCGTCAAACACAATATGTTTATTTTGAACACACGGAAAAGGTTTGGGAAAAAGGGCTGAGCAGGACCCAAGAAATGAAACAATAATGTAAAAAAAAAACTAAACTGATCTTGCCATACAAAAATTAGTGGGTGGTCCGCTCAGGTCTAACTAGTGTTTTTAGACAATTTTCTTCCTACGGGTAATGTATGCCCAAGGGCAACTTGCTTAAATCCCCCTTTTCACAGAAACACATAAAGTTACCAAACAGAGTAACCAGCAAATGAGTGAGTACACAAAACAAAGGACACCACAGTATCCATACTCACATACGAAAATACTCTCCCAACAACCACAACTGACTGGCTTTTAAAACAATGGGAGGTGTAAGTGAAAAACCAGAAACAGGTGGTGCAATACAGAGGAACTGATTGGTCCACCTCAGCAATCAGCAGCCAAACGGATGTCGGACAGGTGGGACACCCCAACGACCACCAATCAGGAACATAAAGGACACCTGTGATTAGGGCAGAAGGAGAGGAAAAACACAAAAACACACACAGGATACCTGTATCCGTAACACTCCCACCCTTAAAAGAGCAAACCACAAGGGTTTGCGACACACGTACCATCACAACACACAGAATTCAAAGATCAACCGCATCCTGACGGGATAACAAAAAAAACCTAGTTCTTTAAACACGAGACAAAGCATCTGCCAACACATTATCCGACCCCTTTTTGTGGCGGATCTCCAAATTATAATTTTGCACTACAAGTGCCCAACGCATAAGGCGTTGGTTCTGGTTGTACATCCGGTGGAGAAAAACTAAGGGGTTATGGTCAGTATACACTATCACTGGTAATGCACTGGAACCAACATATACTTCAAAGTACTGCAGAGCTAACAACAAAGCTAGAGCTTCTTGTTCAATGGTGGAATAGTTTGTCTGACATTTTGTTACATTTCCGCGAAAAATAACAGACAGGATGGTCCACTCCACTCTGGTCCGGCTGCAGTAGAACAGCACCTCTGGCACTTGCATCTACCTCCAGTTTAAACGGTCGTTCAAAATCTGGCGCAGCAAGAACAGGAGTACTACATAAGAGTGCTTTAGCAGTGTTGAAAGCAGTACGACAATCTTCAGACCATACATATTTTCTCGCCGGACTGAGCAAATCCATTAATGGAGCAACTACTGCAGATACATTTTTACAGAAACTACGGTAGTAGCCAACCATCCCTAAAAAGCGGCGTAGCTCTCTTCTGGGGGTAGGTGCGGGAAATGAATTTATAGCTGAGACCTTGGCATCTACAGGGCGCACCTGACCATGGCCGACCTGTTTAACGAGATAAGTAACAGTGGCCTTCCCAAACTCGCACTTTGCTTAGTTCAAGGTTAGAGAAGCGGCTGCTAGACGTTCACACACTACCCTTAGTGTTAACATGATCAGACCACTCAGTTGAATAAATTACCAGATCATCAAGGTTAGCTCTACAATTAGGAACTCCAGCCAATACTGTGTTAACCAGGCGTTGGAAAGTGGCTGGTGCGTTCCGCATCCCAAATGCCATGACAGCATATTGTAGGAAGTGGTCTGGGGTCACAAAGGCAGAGATGTCGGAGGCACGTGAGGTTAACGGCACCTGCCAGTAACCTTTTAGAAGATCTAGTTTGGTTACATAAGTAGCAGCACCAACAGTGTCAATACAGTCATCCAGTATGGGTAACGGGAACGAGTCGGGCACTGTGACAGCATTGACCTTCCGATAGTCCGTACATAACCTGGATGTCCCATCAGGTTTAGGAACCAGAATGCACGGAGAACTCCAAGGACTTGAACTTGGCATAGCCAGGTTATTCTCCAGCAAATAACCAACCTCATCCCTCATTATCTTTCTTTTAGAGACGTTGACACGATAAGCATGTTGCTTGATAGGTGCAGCGTTTCCAACATTAATGTCATGTTCTAACACATTTGTGCATGTAGGAACATCATTAAAAGGACATGGAAAGCTGTGTAATAGCCTCACAATATCATCTGACTCCGTTCGTTAAATTAATCAGGCTTGACGGGAGAGACAGCAGCATCTCTGAATTGGGCAATCTAGCACACTGCTGCTGAGTATTGCGCAACTCCAAACCATCTCCGTCCACATCA